TGTCCAGGCCGCCGCAGCGGGGGGTCAGCGACCTTCACTCACCCTCTGTCTTAGCACTTCTGCCCCTAGACTACCCCTGAACATCCGCACCCTCCTTCCTTCCCCGGGTCTAGAATCCTCTCTGCCAATCTGTACAAACACGCCAGGCACCAACATTGCCACCCCCACGTTCTTTAGTCATCACTTGTCACACAAGTTCTTTGAGCCCTGTTAGTGTTGGCCTTTTCTCTCAAGGACCAGCGGCTTCAAATGCATCTCGACACTCTCATCCCTTTCTCTCCGTCGTGCATCTCACTTTTCAAAGCTTTTTAAGGATGTCACTCTCCGTCGAGCTCCTGCCTTTAATATGTTTGCACAGTTGAACTTTTCTCTGAAAAACTATTCGCCTCTCTCGCAACTCCTTGCCCAACAGAATGGATTCGGGTTATTTGTATGATTTGAAAACTACGGCAATAGAATGTCTTCCTTTCTGGAAAATGTTCTCAACAAAGTGAGCTCTCCAAAGGGAAGAGGAGAACAAAGATCGCGTTCCGCGTGTTCGTGCCCTTCGGACGCCTCGCTTGCGAGCCACCAGGACAGCGGTGCAGAGGCAGTGGGCCCACGTTCCCTCGCCTGTGTCTGGTGACAGGTTCTGTGACATTTTTCAAAGTGGGAAAAAAAGGCAATCGTAATACTGGAGCAAAAGACTCCCCTCAAAATTGTGAAGTCCTGGGATACTGTAAACAGGTCGAATATTGCCCTGTTTGTTTCTATTATAAATAACTTCTACATACTAAGAGATGATTCCATTTGAAACAAATTTCAAACTTCTCTGAACAATTTTTCTTTAAACATCACTCATGTTAATCCCATCCCTAATGTATAGATAGAAAAACAGAAATGAGCTAAAATGCGATTGAGTCTAGAATTTATCAAATTTGCTTATAATCCTAGACAGAGCATAATATATTCCTCGCGTTGGCAGCCACTAGAACTCATCTGGCTCAACAAGGAAAGCTGCCTGAAAATGCTTCCAAAAATATTCCAGTAAAAAACATCCCATTTAACGTGTAGGTAAGAGAACAAAACTTGTTTCAGACCATCAAGATGTGTCACTTACTGTGCAATCCTATACTTTACAAGCCATGTTGCTTAACTGTGAATATGCATTTAAACACGCGTGTAAAGCTGGCCACTAACTTTCTAGAATGTTTGAGAAATGGACATACCCATATGTTGACCTCTAAATAACTGGGTCTCTTTTGCTAAAGCTTGGCAATTCATCACTTTGGTGTGGTTACCACATAACCACAGACTTATTCGGTTACAAATGGATGCAAGAAAACTCGGGGCCTCACTCACTCTTAAAAATGAAAAGAAAAAGGGAGCAGGGGCTACAACACACCGTTTACTTAACTGTAGGCTAATCTCAGATCATTCACATGAAGCTTCATAACCTTCGAAACAGTTAGTCATTCTATTAACAGTCTCGCTTTCCTAATTCTTACTGTTCGAAATGATGTTCTTTCAAAGGTGTGCTTGCTGTCTCTAAGCTAAAAGTATAAGTCAGAATAGACATCTTCACTTCTCTTTTCTTGCAAATTTCTCAACACAGAGCAAAATAAAAGCAATCAGATGAGTACTGCGTCGTGGGACACAGAAGACGTTTCCTCAATGTTTTCTGTAATTTCTCCTGTGTGTATCTTATTTCCACAACTGGAACGCGAGCAGGACCCTTGCCCTGTTAAATACAAGCGCTCCCCAACTCACAAAGGTTTAACCATACCCCTTTCCTACTAAGCCAGTTGTTTGGGATTTGAATCCATGATCTTGAAGAAAGAAATAGCATTTTATTTAAATAGATCCTCAGGCCATCTCATAAAAAGTCTATTTAAAGCAAAAGATACCCCAAACCTAGCCATAATTCCAAAGAGGATCGTTTCAACTGCCACCAACCTTCTCACACTACGGCCATGGGAGCCACACACTGGCTGCCCAGCGGGAGCACCTGCCCAGTATTACGGAGAAGGGGCCCTCGCCGCACCGGGGACGAGGGAAGCAGCACGATGCCCAGGGACAATCCTGTTTTGGTGGGATGGGGTGTGTCACCATTGCAGGCCCACGGCTATCTGTCCTGTTTAGGTCCCTCCAGCCAGCTGCCAGCCACAGTTGAGTACTGTGGTGACCATAGAGGCCCATTAATAAATTCTTGCTGAACGAAATTCTGTAAATATTCCACAAACATTTACAAGTACATACGCAGGTCTAGCAGGGCAGAAACAAATAAGATGTACTTTCTGCCCTCAGCAGGTTAGACTCCTAGGGAAAATCCGGCTAACAAGGAACAGCAACGCGGCACAGCACCTATCCGTGGCGCAGCAGAGGCACAGCACAGTCACGACGGAGTCCGGGAGATTGCACCAAGCCTGCGTCTCAGAGATCCCCTCCCCCGGGGTGAAGAACAACGCTTGGCTGGTCTAGATACTTCGGAGTAAGAACAAATGCAAGATGTATCACCATCAAAACCTGAGGTCACAGTCCCATTCAAAACAAACAGGAACCACTTGTGACAATTTTGTTCTTACTGGTAGAGAACCCTGTTAACCCAGTCAAACATGAAAAAGAAATTCTGGCATGTACGGCGAGTGGGGGGCGGGTAGTGCATTGCTTTCCAAAAGCCTTTGGAAAGTCACAAAATGGTTGGAGCAAGAACAACACAGGTATCAGATCTGGCTAAGTGAGAGATGCAGGCAGCTGAGGGCATGTCCTTCCTCCTGAAGACACAGGATGGACACAGTGTTTTAAGCCACCACTTTTGAGCTTTACAACCCTTCTGAGAGGTGGAACGAAGAGGAACTCCATTTTCTGATGAGAAAACAGCAGTTCAGAGAGGTGGACAAAGGTCCCCAGGCCTGGCAGGCAGCGGCCAGGGGGCTGGAATCCAGATCTCATGATTAATGACCTAATGCCTTTCCCACAATATCAAGCTGCTTTCCTGATGCAAACCAAAATTTTCAAGTACTTTTTCTTTTCCCATATGTGGGCCTCACAACACATGCGACTCAATTGCAAAGATAACCGTAACTCGGCTGACTAGCAAGGACTAAGTTCTACACTTTTTGAAGCCCATAAACTTTCAAGACACCATAATGTTACTATTGCAAGATGCTAAGTAATTAAATATCTTAGAAGCAAAGAGCACACAGACCTCCAAATAATGAGCAAGTCAGATGAGATTATGTCTGTTACCCGAAGAAAGGGCTGGAAAATTTGCACAAACAGAGCACCTTTCCATAGGAAGATCCGTGAGCGCAAGCAACAGAGTACTTGGAAGAAGAAACAAGTTCTTAGAAATCTGATCCACTGGAACATCTAAGGCTTTTCCTATTTGATTCTTACCTTAAAAACATCTTATTACTAAGTTGTAAATTTAAATTCTGTGCCTATGTTTCCCTAAACACATGGCCTTAGAGGTGATCTAGCTTATTCTACATAATTAATAAGGCTGAAATAACCAATAGAGCAAATGTCTATCCCACAGACAGAAACTATGCCTTTTAAAAAAGTATCTATGGAAAATGTGAAAAATTGACTCTGTACAGAAATAAAAGCAGAGACCTGCAAATTCCAACAAATCAGAAATTAGGCCACATCCTCTAACCACAATGTAACCAAATTAGTATGGCCATTAAACACAGATGCTGGCTACCTGGAAGCTAAGACACTTACCCTATTGCCATTAAGAGTATACACACAGAGGGAGCAAAGAAACAGGAGAGAATTTGGTGCATTAAAATTTATTTACCATAAGCAAAGAAATATTTTAATTAATGTGTTTTTTAAAAAAGACTATTTAAAGAATATTTATTACAAAAACACAGATGCTCACAGACAGCGTGCAAGAAAAAGAGCACCTTTCTCCAATCATGGACGAGTAAGGTGTCCTGGAAAGATGGTTTCTCCGTCTTTTACCACAATGAGGATCATCTTTAAGTTTCTTTTTTATATTCT